GATTTATATTGATGATAGAGATTAAGGAATATTCAATAAATTACTTAAATATGCAGATGATATTAAGGTCTTGAGTGTTACTAGCTGTGAAGAGGATGCTACTGTGGGTTATCATAGTTCTAGTTATAAGTATAATTTGATGGAAATAACCTTAACAGTGTTATGAAAGAAAGGGATCTTGGTGTAATAGTTGATCGTCTCTAAAGCCATCCAAGCAGTGGTAGGACAAATAGATTTTAGGTTGTATCTACAGAAATATTGAGTACAAGTCTAAAGAGGCTATAATTTCATTGTATAGGTACTAATTAGGCCACATTTAGAATAATGTGTTCAGTCTTGGGCTCCATACCGTAGGAAAGACTTTGAACCGTTGGATAGGGTTCATAGAATGGTGCCTAGGATGAAGGGGTTGTCATATGAGGAGAAGCTTGAATCTCTCAAATTGTTTTCTCTTGAAAAAAGAAGAGTTAGGGGGGATCTGATTGAGTTGTTTAAGATTGTAAAGGGAATTGATAGTGTTGATGCATCATATTTTTTCATATTTAGCAGTGAGAATAGTAGCACTAGGGACACAAATAAATATTTTGGCAAGGTAGAAGTCATCTTCAGCTAAGACAGTTTCATTTTTCTAAGAGGGTGGTTGGCCTTTGGAATGGGTTGTCTTCAGATGTTGTAGAGACAGTAAATTTGAGTGAGTTTAAGAAAAAGCTTGATAAGTATATGAATGATATGGGCTGGCTTTAAGATTTTTTAAAAATTATGTTAATGAGGATGGAACATCTGAGATAGACCAATAGGTTCCATGTTGTCCCAAAACATTATGTTATCATGTTATTTTAAGATTTGTTATGTAAGAAACCAATGTAACCATTCTTCAGTACATCATAGATGTGAACATTTAGTATGTAAGAAACCAATGTAACTGTTGATTTTCAGTACATTAATCAAGTGAACATTTAGTATGTAAGAAACCAATGTAACCATTCTTCTTCAATATATAATAAAAGTGAACATTTAGTGTAGAAGAAACTAATGTAACTTTTTTCTTTAGTATATCATACAAGTGAACATTTAGTATGTAAGAAACCAATATAACTGTTCTTCTTTAGTACATCATACCAGTGAACATTTAGCATGTAAGAAACCAATGTAACCATTCTTCTTCAGTACATCATACAAGTGACTGGTATGACAGGAGATTTAGAAAATTATAGAAGATCAAGAAAGTTGGTGAAACAGGAAATTGGGGCATCAAAATCATACAAGTGAACATTTGGTACATAAGAGATCAGTGTAACAGTTCTTTTCAGTACATCAAACAAGTGAACATTTAGTATGTAAGAAACCAGTGTAATAACTGTTCTTCTTCAGTGAATTTAAAATTTTTACATTTAGTATGTAAGAAACCAATGTAACTGTTCTTCTTCAGTGCATTATACATGTTTACATTTAGTATGTAAGAAACCAATGTAAAAGTTCTTCTTCAGTGCATTATACATGTTTACATTTAGTATGTAAGAAACCAATGTAATAACTGTTCTTCTTCAGTGCATTATACATGTTTACATTTAGTATGTAAGAAACCAATGTAACTGTTCTTCTTCAGTGCATTATACATGTTTACATTTAGTATGTAAGAAACCAATGTAACTGTT